GTATTCCGCCAAGCCCCGCTCCGAGCGCTGCTCCAAGTACCGCCCCTAGCACGACTCGCAGCGACTCTTCCGATGTAGTGATGGCGGAGCGACCGGCGTCGCGCGCGGCGGGCTCTATGCTTTCGGATACAGACGTGCGTTCCCTCGCGCGCTCTCCGTCGCCCGCGCCGCCTCCTCAGGCCTCGCGTGCTTCCTCCTCCGCGAGCGTTCAGCCCAGCGAGTCATCGGAATCCTCCTCTGTGGTGGTGGGCCCGTCGGCTCCCGGCAAGGAGGCAGCGAAGGCTCCTGTACTGCAGAATGGGCACATCGGAGATGAAAGCGTAGGGGACACGTTGGCCCCTACTAAAGGGACAGTGGCCCCCTCTCCCTCCCCGGGCCCCGCCGCGCCTCCCACTCCGTCTCCTGTACGAATAGAGTTGAACGGAGAACGCCCGTCCGATGAAGTGGATGATGATGACGACGATGTGATAGTGAGTAGAAGCAAGACCCCTTCTCCATCGCCGGCCCCGACTTCATCTGCACCATCTCCCAAAGAAACTTCAAAAGACTCTCCTCCGAAGGAAGCAACGAAAGCCCCGTCCCCAGCAGACACGAAAGAAACTCCAAAGAGTACCCCAAAAGATACCCCAAAAGATACCCCAAAAGATACCCCGAAAGATACACCAAAGGACTCTCCAAAAGACTCTCCGGCTAAAGAATCTCTTAAGGATGCGTCACAAGATAAAGAGTCAGTAAAAGATATTTCAACGAAGGAAACTCCACAGGAATCGCCAGCAAAAGATTCGCTAAAAGATTCCACAGTGGATTCGTCCAAAACTCCGTCACCTCAGCCAATAAAAGAAACTCCTAAAGATTCTCCAGCCAAGGAAACAGTAAAAGATGTTCCAGAAAAGGAAACGCCGAAAGACTCTCCGGCAAAAGATTCATTGAAAGAAGAGTCTCTGAAAGATTCGCCTGCAAAGGACTCTTTGAAAGATAGTTCTGCTAAAGACACACCCAAAGACACTCCTGCCAAGGATGTGTCCAAAGAATCTTCTCCCAAAGAAACTCCTAAGGATTCGCCTGCAAAGGAGTCTCTGAAAGATACTAAAGATACGCCAAAGGACTCACCAGCCAAGGATTCTCTCAAGGACGTTGCGGTTGCTACGCCGTCTCCAACCCCATCACTGAAGGACACTCCCAAAGAATCACCGGCTGAGAGTGCTAAACCGACACCAAAGGACACTCCAAAGGACACTCCAAAGGACACTCCAAAAGATACGCCGAAGGATACGCCAAAGGACACGCCAAAAGATTCTCCGAAGGAGACGCCTCGTGAAACGCCTAAGGACTCGCCCGCCAAAAGTGCGTCCCCGGCCCCATCCGTCGCCCCCAGCGCTAAGACTGACGACGGCCGAGACTCCCTCGCGGACAAGGTGAGCCTAGCGTCAGACATTAGCAAGGAGTCTGAGCCGGACGTGTTGCGCAATTTAACACCCATAAGCAGCATCAGTAAAGCGGATACTTCGGATAGAGAGAGCCCGTCGCCGTCACCCGCTCCGTCACAAGCGAAGAGC